AAGATCTGACGCCTAACAAAACCAAAGCTTTTACACCTTAAAGATTAAGTTGGTCCAGTAAAAGGTATCATCAAGCCTAGAGAAAATAGGCTTCTCCAGCACAATGACTACTAAGGAATCTGCACTACACGTGACTTACTGCATATGGCTATGATTCATCCCTTTTATTAGGCAAATCTCAAACTACTTGTATTATTGACAAAAGACCACCCAGACATGGAAATATTGATACATGTCCAGGCTGAGAGGGTGTAACAGCATGATATCTAATGTCAAACACATTTATGGAGCACAAATGTGTAAGTAGTGTGTTTCATAGAAGAGAGCCAACACTGGGCATGTAGTACAAGTGTGAATGTTGTAAGATTTTACAGAACTATATAACAACCCTAAACCAATGTATTTAAACTGGCACTATGAGCATATTCCTGCTTTCTTTCTACAGGTAAGAACACTTCAGCATGGCAGACCCTAGAAAGTAGTTAGTGAGACTCGGGAACTCATGACATCAGTTTAACATAACACATGAAAAAAAGAATTGAAGCTAGGCAAGCAATGCCAAGACCAGCGCCAGAGGTGAAATGGCACTCATCCAGCTAGTAAATGCCCCAGTCATGTCATGGAAGGTCACAGCACCAGAATTGCTCCAATGTCTCACAGTAGAAGCCACACAGCAGTGTTTCTGTAAAACAAAATACAATACTTTATTTTTTTTTAGTTCAGTGGTTAACTCTGCTACTTTCCTTCAGTTCATTATTTTTATTACTCAGGGTTATGGCTCTCTGAAAACATTATTATTAGTTGCCTTGAGGGTAGATTAGTAAGAATGGCCATGCTTCCAAAACACAAAAATGTATTTAATAACGCAGCTCAAAGACCAATGATGTGCTGCAATTAACCTCAAATCAGCTTCTCGCAGGTTGTCAGATTTATGGAAACTGAGTGCCGGATGGTTGCTATATTTTACAGTGGAACTAGTGAATTAGTTACAAAAGTATTGATGATATTATTTATAAGAAAATATATATGTGTATATAGTGTGTGTGTGTGTGTATATGTATGTATGTATATATATATATATATATATATATATATATATATATATATATATATACACACACATACTAATATTATTACAGCATAAGAATAATGCAGTACTTTGTTCAGTCAATGTCGACAGGCCAATTTAAAAATATAAACTGCAAAGTGTCTATGACAATGGAAAAGTTAGGAGAGAAAACCACGACTTACCTGCTCTGTGCAGTGGTCTTGCACAGAGCAGCCCCAATCCTCCTCTTGTTGGGTCCCCCCACTGGCACTCTTGGCCCTTCCCTCCTGCAAAGTGTCCCTATAGCAAGCAGCTTACTATGGGGCCACCCGCGCTGCTGCTCTGCGTGTCCACTAACACACAGAGCCTTGGCTTAGCCCCGCCCCTTCTCTCTCCTTATTGGCCCACTGGTGTTCACATTGTTGAGGCTCAGGTAAGTATTAGGGAGGCTGCTGCACAGAATGAATGAAGGTAAAAAAACCTTGAACTGTTACAACCACTTTAAGGGTTCTAATGGACTGACAAAATACGCTAACGGAAATGGACTTTAGTCATGTGATCAGCTGCATAATAAATATATATAATCCTTAAATGCAAAGTTGATAAAATAAAGGATACTAGTATCATTCACAAATCTATGTTAGGGTTAGACGTGAGCACATCCCTTCCCTTTTCTATGTCCTGCAGATCAGTGCTCAGTGTGGCCTATCCACTTCCTCCAACTGATTTGAATTCGTTCACTAGCATTCTTTTAGGGCCTGTTCACATCATGTACGCTTGGATGCACTCAAACACAATCCAAATACAATAACAATAAAAATAAATGGGGGAGATTTACTAAAACCACAGAATCTTTGTATAGTAGCCAATCAGCATGTAACTTCAGCTTATTCAATTAAGCTTTGGCAATAAAATCTAGCAAATGACTGTTTACTATGCACAGCTGCACCACATTCTGTGCACACCAGTTTTAGTAAATGCTCCCAAATGTTTCTCAATGAGTGTAGTTCACACCATTGCACTGTTACAGGTGTTTGAAAAAGTACAGCTGCATTTTTTTTTCTCAAGACAACATGCATAAACATGTGTAACTTCAATACATTTCAACACAACTCATTAAAAGGTTCCTTTCATACAGCATTAAAAAAAAATGGAACTTTTGTATGATTGTGCAAAAGGTTATCTGAGAATGGGAACTGGATGAGAATAGGTGGGAAGCAAAGCCAGTGAGTGAAACTTTGTAAACTCAGTGTACTGGTCTGATGTCGGAAATCAGGGGCAGCTGAAAACCTACATCACATTTGCCTAGAAGGACGTAGAAAGAATATCCATTTCTGGCAGTGATGGTGTTATTCAAACAATAATGTACATTCATCTACTCAGAATGAATGTAGACACTGCCAAAATACCACAGCTCCTTGTTACACCATATCATTCAATACAACAACAACTTTTCACCCCATGTCTGGACACTGAAATGCCATTCTAGGCTTGAATGTGTACATTTGGATAAATTACAAATATCTTGCAGATACTTTGACTTGCATCAAGCTTACAACACCATCCCCTGCCTGTGCTGGACCAGTATCTCACCTGGCAAGGAAAATAACTAGGAAAACCAGTGGGGCAAGCTGACCTAAATGAATTAGTATGACACAAAAAAATGGAGAAACAAACAGCCAACACTGACACATTCCACCCAAAACTCCAAAATTAACTGGACAAAATTATTGTCACCTTCTCAAAATTGGAGATCTCTCCTGTGGAGAGATCTCAAAACAGCAGGGAAAAGAAACCCTTCAAATCAGTCCAAAATTCCAGAGAGGTGTAAGAAATACATTGATGGTTACAGGAAGCAATTGACTTCAGTTATTTTTCCAAGAGGTGTGCTACCGAATATTAAATAGAGGGTGCCAATAATTTTTTCCAGTCCAGTTTTGGAGTTTTGTGTGGAATGTGTCAGATTTGAATTTTTGTTTCTCCACTTTTTTTTTGTGTCATACCAATACAAACAAAAGAAATAAACAAGGGAATGCCTATACATTTGTAATTGCAACAATTTTCTGGGTGAAGTGGTGCATTATCTAACAGAAATGCAGGGGTACCAATATTTTTGGCCGTGACTGTACTACATTAGCAACAAGTATATTCCTTTATCCCTTAACAAAATTAAGATATGACTTCTTCTAAGTCTCAGCCCAGGTTCACACTAATGCGGTGCGGGAAACGCTACTAATTCACATGACGTTCATGCAATCTGGTGCAGATGTCAATGATAAATTAATGACAGCTCGAAACAGATCACAAAACACAATGCGATTGGCAGAAATTGCATCGCATTGGGAGAGTATGTGATTCAGTTGTGGATAAAAAAAAAAGGGTCCTGCACCTGTGTTGGTGCGGTTGCGATGCGATTTGAGCCATACAAAATGGCTCAAATTGCACCGCACAGATATTGCATGTAATTTGCACAGAAATGCAGTGCGATTCCTGTATGAATTACATGCAGTGTCCCACACCGCATGAGTGTGGACACAGTCTTGGCAAAAAGGTGACAGGGCTAGTTTTTCAAGATGTTTAAAATTTTTGTGTTCATTGATAGCTCACATGGATCTTTTCTGATGCTTTGCTTTGGAGAGCTCCACTGAGCTGGCCAGAACCAACTCTTGAGGGAGTCTATTCAACATTTTCACTGTGAAGAAACCTTTCCATGTTTGGAGATTAAATTTCTTTTCCTCCAGACGTAAAGAGTGCCCCCTTGTCCTCTGTGTTGACCTCAGGGTGAATAGCTCTACATTGAGTTCACTATATGAACCACCGATGTGTTTATACATGTTGATCATATCCCCTCTTAATCTCCTCTTCTCAAGAGAGAATACATTCAGTTCCTCTAATCTTTCCTCATAGCTGAGCTCCTCCATGCCTCTTATCAGTTTGGTTGCCCTTCTCTTTACTCTTTCCAGTTCCCCAATGTTCTTTTTTTGAATTGGTGCCCAAAATTGAACTGCATATTCCAGATGAGGTTTTACTAATGATTTGTACAGGAGTAAAATGATATCTCTCTCTCTGGAGTCTATACCTCTTTTAATACAAGAGAGAATTGTGCTCGCTTTAGAAACCGCAGCTTGGCATTGCATGCCATTATTATTCTCCACCATTGATTCCCCCAGTTGTACTCCCTCTAAATCTCAGACCCACACCCTCATCGTCCCATTTTTTTTGTCTTTCCAGAGATCAGTCTAGAATAACCACAGCCCTGCCACTCCATTTCCTCTTTTTGCATCTCCTTCTGTCATTTTTTTTATGGGCACCAGTTTTTCTTGATCTCCATAGCAGGCCCTGTAATTGCTAGTAGGACACTTAGCTGAGCTCCTTCTCCCTGCACTGCACATAGCTCATGAGCCGATCAGCATCCCACAATTAGAGAGGAGTCTGACCTGAAAAAACAGTACAGCAGCCGGCTTTGTGCTGGGGCTCTGGTGCAGTGTACAGAGCAGGCTGTATCTGGAGGGGCTCAGAAGAGACCTGTGTGGAAGTTCAGTGCGCTTAGCAATATCAGCCTAGGGGTGGGGGGCATGACTGAAATCTGGGAGAGCACATTCCACCCCAGCACCCCCCTAAATCTGTCCCTGCCTAAATCAAACACCTTTTAGGATATTATAAAAAGTACCAAAAAGGGACTCAAACATTTATGGGTTAGGATTCTAAATGCTAGAGAAAGCAACTTTCTTTCATGGATTTTCCCACACTGGGAAAATAGCATTTGAAATGTGATTAGTAGCTACAGAAAGCACCCATGTATCTCTCCCCAATGCTTACGTTAACCGGTTTATGCTAGCATACAGACAGTAACACTCACAGGAGACGTTTGTTGAACATGTTCTATATGACACAGAGAGACTGTGCAATTAACCCAATTTCAACAAACCTGCTTATTACAGCCTGGAATATGTCACTGTTCTACAGGTGTCTCAGACACAGTGCAGCTTTTCGTTTTTCTCTGAAATGGAAAGAGAGAATGAATAGTAATTTTTATTGCCTGCTTGTGAGTAACATATATAAAGGAAATAAAGCCATTAAACACACTGGTAAGAAATTAAGACTGTTGGCACTTCAAATGACAGCTATGTATTACAGGTCTAAGATTACTTTGTGTTTCATTATAACAATATTATGGCATTAACTTTCAGATTAAAACATGATAATGAATTCTAAGCGTGTTCATTTTCTTCTGTATTTTTCCATGCGGTATGCATGGTACAATACATTAATTTAGCTATGAAACTAAATTTATTCTTGGGACATGTTATATATTAATTAAATAAAGTATGTTTACATGCAACTAAAAGAAAATCTCAAAGATAATTGTTTTTTAATTGAAAAATAAGACAGAACGGTTGTTTTACTAAAGCAGCAGAGACTGGTCACTGAGCTTAGTAAATAAGGTGCAGCTGTGTTCACAATGCATACCTATTATGCAATGGTCATTTTATAAAAATGCAAAAAATAGTGTAAAAATTAAAAAAAAAGTATTTACTAAGCTAAGTGAGCAGTCTTTATCTCTTTGGTGAAGCGAACCTATTGTTAATTTTTTAAATCTAATGCACCTTTTATGTGTTTATATTTTCAATAACCTGTTCTTTGTAAATAATATTCAGGACTTACCAACATGTTTGAATTCTGACTAATGGTATAGTGCAATTTGGAATCTGATAACCATGGATGTTTTATTGCTTCAGTAGCACTCATTCTCCAACTAGAATAAAAACAATAATTTGTGAAATAGAGGAAAAGGGCATAATCAAATGCAATGAAAAAGTATATCACAAAAATGATTCCTCTATGACTATCTATCTATCTATCTATCTATCTATCTATCTATCTATCTATCTATCTATCTATCTCTTATTGACCAATTAAATTGCACTCTTAATTATACATTGGGGCAAAGTAAGTCAGGAAACTGTGATTGGCTACTTCAATCAACACAATGGAAATAAATTACCATATAATGAAAAGAATTGAAACTGAATTGATGTTTCTGGCCACAGAAAGAAGCTTATAATAAATAACAACAGACATTCTGATCCTTCATATTTATATTAAAAAAGTGCTTGTATTGTGTATTTTTGTATTCTGTGCCTAATGTTATATGGTTTTTAAGACCACTCAGGAAGTAATGGGAAATCTTACCACAGGGGACACTAGAAAGAAACCTGACAGGGCTTGTAACCCCTTTTCACTCTAGCAAGAGCTTTGACAGCTTTACTACATGCCACCTGCTGGTTTAGATACCCTATATCAGTGTTGTTCAACTTAAATCTCATGTAGGACCTCAAGTGCAGCACCCAACACTTCCAGAGGTCCTCACAATAGCAACAAGTTTGTGCACATTGTGTTGAGTTAGGCAGCCCTCTCAACAAGAATTGGCTGTAACATACTTCAGCTCCTGAAAATGATTATTGGAGTATGTAGCTACCATAAATACTCCCAGCTTAGGTGTTAATTACCTCAATATTAACTCCCAGTGGTGCTATTGACTGCAATAAAAAACTCCTAGGAATGGTGGTAGTGGCAGTGCTGTCAACCACCTGCTCTGTATTGGGGCCCAGTAGCAGTGCTATTTAATACCCCCACTGATTGTCAGTGATAGTGGTTTTTAATCCCCCCATCATTTTGTGGTCAGTGCAGCGGCAGTAAAATGTATCCCCCCACCCCCACATTGGGGGTCATTGCACTGTCAAGGAAATTCTACCCACCTTACCTGATCCAATGCTCTTGCACCACTCTTTCTCTTCCCAGAAAGGTAAAGACTATATTTGTACTATGGGGTAGAAATCACTAAAGCTGACAGTATTATCTATTAAGCACCAGGTAATGAAATGTAGAGAACACTTAAGCACCCACCACATGGCTACCACTCTGCAAAGCATATTTCAACTGGCAGGCAGAGATCACCTTGGCAGAGACAGTACTGTCTTTATTTCAGTGCCAAGCAGTGAAACGCAGAGAACAATTCAGTGCCTGATATCCCACTGCTGCTCTGCTAAGTTCCCAGATGCCCCAACAGGTGGTTGCCCAGCCCAGGACACAGCAGGTTGCACATAGACAGCCAGTGGGATGTATGCAGGCCTAGTGTTTGTTACCATGACCCTATTTTAAAAGCTGCCTTAAAAAAATCTAAACCAAAATACTAGCAGTTTATAAATATGCTATACTAAATTGTAGTATATGTACACATGTTTAATTTGCATTAAACAATTTGGAAGATTATATGTCTTACCATTTTTCCTTGATGAGTAACTTAGTGATGAAATCTTTTGCAATTTCTGAAATATTTTGAAATTCTTCGCCTTCAAAATCAAATTGTGCAGCCAAAATGTTGTTCAGGGTTTCATTGTCATCTTCCCCTAAAAATGGTGAAAGCCCACTCAACCTATGGTTCGAACACAAAAATATTTTAAATAACTATTGGATAGAAACAATAAAGAATAAAGCATTCTGCAGTGGATCTGTTATTACAGGCATTCGACAGAGACATGTCCCCTCCTGACTGCCTGTGTTAACCATTAAAAGCCTGGAGCACCACCTCTATTACGTGTGAATGCAGCTCAGAGCCGTGTACCTGAATAGGTCGTGCAACCATAGCAAGGAAAAAGCTGCTACTATAACTGCCAAAAAAAATTGTTAACTGGATTTAATATTTACTAGCCTGTCAATTACTTAACCACTTGAGGGCCTTAAACATAGGAGATATGCCCATTCTTCCCTTAGGTCTAAATTTTCAGCTGATTTTTTCGCTTTTTTTTCATTTCCAAAAACCTTAGTGTCATGTTAAAAGAAATAAAAATATAAAATAAGATATGTACTTTTATTTACAGTAAAACATTCTCTTTTTTTTAATGAACGCTGGTCGAAAATTAAAAAAACATTTTTGTCTATCAATTAAATAGAAAATAAAACAATTGTTGGAATATGAAAGAAATAGAGGAGAATTTTTGCCAACAAAAGCAATATAATTATTATTTTGTTATCCTAGAAAATATGTAAACCCAACATTTCATATTCCTGATATGTGCCTACTGTACCCATGTACTTGTATGAAAAATTATCCTGTTCTCTTTGTATTGCTTGATTTGTGTGAAATCCCTGATGTTCCTGCCAGTCCCTGTGCTTTCCTATTAAAACTGACCACACTAGGCAGGAGAGCACAGCATGGTCAGTTCTCTAGCTGTGCTGGAAACTCTGGGAAATGATACATCATTTGCACCAGCCATATTGGCCCTCTGGGGGAACCCTATTAAAAATGAGTCTTAGTGTAATGGATTGGTATTTTTTCTGTTCACATATCATATATTTCTAAATCTGCCGAATGAACAGGTCCTCCCCTCAAATGAATGACTGTGGTTTTCAATCGCTACGTCTTTTGAATAAACAGAGTTATACACCAGATCTCCCTGAGGAAGTGGGTTTTTAACCTGTGAAACAAGTCAAAGTGATATACATCAAAGAGTTATATACATTATACTCTCCTTACTCACTTCATATGCAATCTTGGAGCTATTTATATCAAGCCTGATGTTCTTATTGTTACAATATGTAATGGTATATGTTTTTAGAGAGCATATTCATGCTCAGTTTTTGTACTACAATATTGCTTTTTAATACTGTATATTAAAGCTATTATTTTTTTTATAATATTTGTATGCGCTGTTGTTGGAATGGTACCTATAATGTCCCAGTAGCTTTTCTGATTAGGGTTTTTGTATTTTTCAGTGTCTCTACAATAAGGGACGTGGTACCAGTAAAAATCCAGTAACAAGGTTGAGCCCATTACTTATGCAGGTCTCCTTTCACTTTTCTTCTATATTGCTTTACGTAATGACAATGTTATCACTGGAGTAAACAGGATAATAATGGAATTTAAAAAACTGTTCTGGTCCATAAGGGGTATACAGGAGCTGAAGTGGTTAAGCCCATTTAAGACTACCCTGTCATCAGGGGGACATCAATGTGAATGACAGGGGCGGACTGACAACTCATGGGGCCCCTGTGTCCTTGCCCAAACTCAAAAAAGTCTATGAAAAAGGTACCAGGGGCATCTCATGGGGCCCCCTACTGAACCCGGGCCCTCGGGCAGTGCCCGAGTTTCCAAATGGTCAGTCCGCCCCTGGTGAATGATTATATTCTCACAATGTTAAATAAAGTGGAAAAAATGATCTACCAGTAGAATAAACAGTTATTGAATGTGTGTTACTTATTCAGAAGAAAATGCTGTGCTAATGCCTGTAACAGAGTGCATCATATATGTAATTTTTTTTTTATTTTGTAGATAGCTCCACTTTAAGCAAAACAATTTAAATATAATATGTCTATCCTCACCATAATTACATTGCACTGTGTGCCGTATTAAAACTAACAGACTGAATTTGTGAGGAATGCTTCCCGCAGGGTGCACAGAGGGTCACATTAAATGTGATTGCAATCACTCTGTTTAATGGATGATAAATAATTCTACCTCTTTGTCTCTCTACCCTGCTGTATAAAGAGATAAAAATATTTATTTTTCATTTGCCCTTGCTGTTTCAGCTATAGCACTCGTGTTTTCCCTTTCAAATATCAGCACAAAAGCTAGTTCAGCAAAAGTGCCCACATAGACAGGAAACCAAGAATAAATCTAAAAAAGAAATTGATAAAGAATATTTCACACAAAACAGACGTATGCTCTTGGCCAACTCACAGCATGTAGGCAATGACTCCCCCACACTCCACATGTCTGTGGGAAAGGAGACAAAATCATAGTTCACAACTTCAGGGGCAAGGAACTCTGGAGTACCAAAGTGCACTTTCAATTTTTCCCTTGGCTTGTACCTAGAACATGAATAAAAAGATAGATAAAGTATCATTTCAAAGAGACGAAAAGGAATAAAAGCTCCCCACAGACTGCATTCTGGCAAAGCTGTAGTGACATGCTGCACCATTCCTTCCAGTATACTCCACAGGAAGAATGAAGTCTGACACAGATCATAACCAGCTATTGTACATTCAATGAGTAATAAGCAGAATGGAATAAACTGGCATGTAATCTTACAAAGAAGTGCCTAGGAAGTTTTTCCACATAAATCAAATCTGAGAAGTTTCTGTAAATAATGATAGTCTATATACTTTATTGTAAATGTTGTCACTGCTTATACAGTAAGAACCCAACAAATAGCTTTAGCTTCCTAAAACTGTTCTTCACTGCCTTCACATCTTGTGTTTTGACACTTATAGAAATCTTATCATAGGCTTTTAGCAGACCTTATTGGGGTTTTACTTGGTACTCTGCACATAAGTAGGTACAAACAGACCAGACCTTCTGGTACCAGAAGCACCCACATAGAATACATGGCCTGCACACCATGCTAAGGCCCCATGCAAAACACCATGCTATCTATGAAATTAAAACTAATAAAAAGTACTAACTGTTCAAAATGATATGTCATTAACACACCTGGATATTCACTTCAAGCTATATTAGATACAGTATGTTGAATTCCAGTTATCCCACTATGGCTAGTTTTGATAAACATGCTGTAAAATCTTTTGTTGCTATACTGTAGATTATTTTTAGACAGGTACTTTACAACTGCTGACATTCAGTATATATATACATACTGAATTTGTACCATTCCCTATGTTGAATATATAAAGAAATTTTGCTGTGAGATATATATATATATATATATATATATATATATATATATATATACATACAAACACACACACTATATTGCCAAAAGTGTTGAGATACCCCTCCAAATCATTTGATTCATGTGTTCCAATCACCTCCATGGCCACAGGTGTATAAAATCAAGCACCTAGGCATGCAGACTGCTTCTACAAACATTTGTGAAAGAATGGGTCACTCTTAGAGGCTCAGTGACTTCAAGCGTGGTACCATGATAGGTTGCCTCCTGTGCAATAAGTCCATCCATGAAATTTCCTTGCTACTAAATATTCCACAGTCAACTGTTAGTTGTATTATAAGAAAGTGGAAGCAACTGGGAAAAAAACAGCAACTCAGTCATGAAGTGATAGGCCACGTAAAATGACAGAGCGGGATCAGCAGATGCTGAAGCGCACAGTGTGCAGAAGTCGCCAACTGTCTGAACAGTCAATAGCTAAAGACCTCCAAACTTCATGTGGCCTTCAGATTAGCACAACAACAGTGTGTGGAGAGCTTCATGGAATGGGTTTCCATGGCCGAGCACCTGCATCCAAGCCTTACATCACCAAGTGCAATGCAAAGCATCAGATGCAGTGGTGTAAAACACACCACCACTGGGCTCTAGAGCCGTGGAGAAGTGTGCTCTGAAGTGACGAATCATGCTTCTCTGTTTGACAAACCAATGGACTTGTCTGGGTTTGGCGGTTGCCGAGAACGGTATTTGCCCTACTGCATTGTGCCAAGTGTAAAGTTTGGTGTACGGAGGCTTATGGTGTGGGGTTGTTTTTCAGGGGTTGGGCCTAGCCCCTTAGTTCCAATGAAGGGAACTCTTAAGGTGTCAGCATACCAACACATTTTGGAAAATTTCATGCTCCCAACTTTGTGGGAACCGTTTGGGGATGGCCCCTTTCTGTTCCAAAATGAACACCAGTGCACAAAGCAAGGTCCATAAAGACATGGGTGAGCACGTTTGGGGTGGAGAAACTTGACTGGCCTGCACAGAGTCCTGACCTCAACCCAATAGAACAATTTTGGTATGAATTAGAGTGGGAACCGCGAGTCAGGTCTTCTTGTTCAACATCAGTTCCTTACCTCACAACTGCCTTTCTGGAAGAATGGTCAAAAATTCCCACAGACACAATCCTAAACCTTGTGGACAGCCTTCCCAGAAGAGTTGAAGCTGTTATAGCTGCAAAGGGTGGGTCAACGCAATATTGAACCCTAGGGACTAAGAGTGGGAAGTCACTAAAGTTCATGTGCGTGTAAGGGCAGGCCCACACGTTTGGCAATATAGTGTATATATATATATATATATATATATATATATATATATATATATATATATCATGATATGTAACAACCTGCTGCACTGTTTATATTTGCCTTTATTCATTTTCAATATATTTTTTTTTTTTTATTGTGAGAATGCCATTAACAAGAACAATGGCTGCAACATTCGGCCAACAAGTCAAATCAAGAAAGACAATATACGGTATGTTTGTATAAGCTTGGAGAGATCTAACACTGAATGGATGGTGGTCAGACTAGTAGGTAGCAAGTGAAAGGTAGAGGGGGTGGCCTCAATTTGAAGATTAATAAGTGCAATTCAAATTAAGAGGGGTGTGGAATGTCCATTGGAGGATCATTTGTTAAGAGTCTGAGTAGATACCATTGATTATATTGAAAGCATTGCATTATGGATTGCTGAGTTTCTACGAGCAAGGTTTGAATTAAGGATTCCCAAAAGTTGAAGAAATTTTGAATCCATAATTCCCTATGCAAAGGAGGCCTCCACCCATTCCATGCTAAAAACATAGGACAATTTAGCTATGAATAGAAAGATAGTAGGGGGTTCCATGTAGATCTACTTATCAATAAGATATTTTACTTGTATATATAATGATGTGAAATGATCTCTTAATGTTTATCCTATTTTTTAACCCATGCCTTGAGCTCCAGCACTGAAACTACCTGAAACACACACACTTTACTAGAATGAGGAATAGAAACCCACAGTTACATCTTGGTCCCATCTGAATAATTTGTCAGAAAGAGGAATTCAGAAGACTGAGGGTGTGTTCACACTAGCACTTTTAACTGGTCCCAGGTGCGGTTTGGTCCCTTTGGCCAGTTCATTTATGTAGTGAGAGTGCTTCCAACCATGCCCAGAACCTGTTAATCAAACCATGCCCAGGACCACTTGGAACAGTCAGACGTAGTTCACTTGTGAAGCAAAATGGTTTTCTGTAGTGTGGGTGCAAACTGTAATGGAGCACAGTTCTCCATGGAGTACAACAGTAAAACAAGGATCCCAGGGATCCAAGTGTGAGTAGAGCCTGAGACTAAGGTCAATGTCTTGTATAAATGTGAATAACAGAGTGACCTGCAGGATGAATGTGTGAGTCTGATTGTTTGAATTCTGCTAGGAGACGTAGTGCACTGCATGGCTGAACAGAAAAAATACAGATGTATTTTGGTATGTCCCGCACAGTATTTCACACAAAGCACCATTCTGCTCAAAGTCTGGCTTCATGGGCACCTTGGCCTCAAAGAGCAAACTGCTTGGGAGTAGAATGTGGTGTATTGTCCTACTTTCCTGTTAATCATTGGCTGGAGTATTCTGTGTTTGTCTGTTTTCTATCTATAGACTGCATAATATTATGAGGAGGACAAATAATTTTTTTTTGTCCTATTACTAATTGTGGATTACCTTGTTACCACCACAGTGAACAACCACCACCAAGGCTATGGTTTTTATTCATTCTGGTTTTTGACAAACCTTGCCTAGGCTGACTGTATAGGCTTGCCTGTTTCTGTTAATGAATTGCTACATTTTTCCATTTGTTCTTCTATTAATGAAATATTTACATTTCCCATAACCATTCACTGGATTACTACTCTGAGGTGCTTTCATCAACCATAATCCATTGAATAGAACTTTAGAAGCTGCAAGTATAACAAAGGTGAGGCCTTTGTCTAAAACTGAAGAAATGTCAGGGAGTATCTGCCTATTAGTATGCACAGAGTTATGAAACAATTAATGATGTCATAGCCCTGTAGTTATGAGGACATCATCATGTCAGCAAGCCTTAGTTAATAGGATTGTTGGGAGAATATGAAAAATACTTTTGTGGACACAAATAATACCTTAACAGTTTTCTGTTTAATGTAATGGGTTCTTACAATTAATATAATAATAGAATGCAACTATCTTGGAGTCTTTTTTTAGAATGACATCATGTGAACATATGTATTAGGTGTTGTAGATATTCTTTAATGATTACAGATCGTTCTGTACCAATATATTAGCTTTATTTTAAATTATTCTTTTCTGTGCCTTCAATATTATGCTAAGACAGTTGTCCAAGCAATAAACGTTTACCTTCTGGCCAGGCCAAAATCAATAATTTTGATCTGATAATCTGCACGGCTCACACACATAATATTCTCTGGCTGAAAAGAAATAAGAATAAAATCAGCATCCATCCTAGAAACATAAATACAGCATGCATAGGAATGTTGTAAATCAGCTCATCTTACATGTGCAGCAAGTATTAATTTACAAAATGGAGTCCAGAAAACAAAGGTAGAACCAGTGAGATTCATATTTTATTGTAGATTTGACAATGAATACTAAGATTTAAAATTACTGAGATTAAAATTGGGAAAAATAGACTAGTTCCCCCTCCCCTGACACTGTTCAGTGCCTAAATAAGCTTTTGTACATTGCTAGCCTATTTATATATTTTTTGCCTTTTTTGAAAGTTTTTATTTGCATTAGAATTGATGTAGGTTCCAATGGAACCATAAAGAAGATTTCAGAAGTGCTGAAGATAAAATGTGGCACCTTACAGAGTAGGGTATTATAAGAAAGCTGTGTTTATTCCAGTTGGGTACACTTTACATATACAGAATAAAGGACAGCATTAACTGTGCTTTGCCACACTACTATGGTCTTGTCCCCTTTGCCTTAAAGAAGAAAACGAACTCTCTTGCGCTCTGTGACCCAAGCCGGGGTAGGTAGATAGAACCAGGACTTGAAAGTTTCTACCACCAGTGCGTATGGGGTTGTGCAACTTGAAACAAGGCTGGGGAAGCCCGACCAATACTGTGAAGTGAAAACAAACAAAAAGCGCACCAACCTTGCGCATTACCTCAGTAAGCCAAAATTTATTAGTTACAGAATAATACTCACAAACAATGAAGTATATCAAGCATGTAAGTCCTCAAAGGGACTAGGGATAAAAGCAGCCTGTGTGAGTCCCATCATAGGAGTGGACACTCAGGGTACAGTTGACGCGTTTCGAAGGGTGTCCCTTCTTCCTCAGAGCTCTGCTTTTATCCCTAGTCCCTTTGAGGACTTACATGCTTAATATAATTCATTGTTTGTGAGTATTATTCTGTAACTAATACATTTTGGCTTACTGAGGTAATGCGCAAGGTTGGTGCACTTTTTGTTTGTTTTCGGTTTACCCTTTGCCTTAAAAACAGCATTATAAGTACAAATGCAACAAGTTACAGTACCTTTAGATCTAAATGTATAATGTACATTTGATGCATGTACTGAATTCCTTCACAGATCTGCTTTATAAATAATATTGTATCCACTTCAGAAAGATTGCAATTTTCATCAATAATCCTGTCAAACAGTTCACCACCATCCACACTGTTGGGAAGAGAAAAATATTTAATTTAAATATTTTTTAAAATAAATGAGGTTCGGTGAAATCACAGTTATAAAACTGAATATGCAGTTGAGAAAAAGCATACTGTCATAACCCAAACCCAAGAAGGTTTGTCCTGGACTTTTATTCTGCAGGCAGTAACACAATATCAGTACAGGAGGGCTTTGTTCAGCAAATTCACAGCATAACATAAGCAAAACATCTGCTCATCCAAGCCTTTAACCAAACTCCTGGCTATGGCTAGGTTCACACTGAAGTGGTGTGGAGGAGTTGGACTGCCTGTGCAACCTCTGTAAGGCCAGGTATCGCCTCATGCTACCAATAGTGACACTGACCCTAGCCAAATGCAAAACTAGTGAAAAACAGTCAGAAAAGATAAGTGGCCTCCACCTGTAAAACCATTCCTGTTTTGGGGGTCATCTCATTGTTGCACTCTAGCGCACCTGTTGTTAATTGCATTAACACCAAATCAGCTGAAAAACTGATTAACATCCCCCTTTGATACTTAACTGACCAAATCAATATCGCAGGAGTTTAATTGAGTTGATACTATACTCTGATTAAAAAGTGTTCCTTTAATATATATATATATATATATATATATATATTTTGTTTGTTTTAGTTGGAGTGAGCAAGCACGCAACAGGGTGCTCTCCTTCCCAACTAGCTAGGACAAGACTGAACGAAGGCCTAGTTTCGAAGCATCCTTTTTCAGTAGGAACTATTTTTTTGAAAGTTTGGGACTATCAAGACTGGTACCCTCTCCAATTGACAGAACACTGCTGCTGTATCTGGATTCTAACAAATGATGGATTTTTGGTGAGCTCTGTCAAGGGGGTGGCCAAACTGGCAAAGTTGGGAATAAATCTGTAATACCTCACAATACCGAAGAAGGAGTGTACCTGTTTTTTGTGAGGGGATGGGGCCATTTATAGATGGCTTTCACCTATTTCAGCTGGGGTATGATGGTGGCCCTGCCTCCCACATACACTAAATATCAGCCTCTTCCAGTCCAATCACGCATTTCTCAGGGTTCGCAATGAAGTCAGCCTTCTGTAGGGCTTCCTGAACAAATTGGGCTAAATTGGATGACTTTGCAGGTCCTGATTAAAATCACAGTGTCTTCTACATAAGCCCCTGAAAGTTCATTATGAGGTCTCAGGCCGATGGTTCTCTGAAATGTCGCTAAGGTAAGAAAATGTCCAGATTTTTATGCAAGAATTCCCATCTCTTCTGTTTTTAGGAGAGTGAGAGGGTCTGTGATATTCTTACTTTATAAGAATGTTCCTGTACTATCTGGAACACTGTCCATTCCTTTCAGGGTTTGATAAGATTAACATGATACATTTGGTAGTGTTTTCTCTTCAGGGGCTGGTAGATCTTATAGTTAAAGCTTCCTTTCCTACCTTCTTAAAGGGACCCTGCTATTTTGCTAGGAATTTGCCCTCAGCAGTTGGTACAGATACAAAAAACCTGATCAGCAAGCTGGTTGTATAATTCACTTTAAGCCTCTTGCCCTAAATGCTCTCTGAATATGGTGTTCACATGTGACATTTTTCTACATTTGTGCATTGTGTCCCTCTACACTCCGATAGGGCATAGTTCCCACATATCTTTAACCACATCCATGAACCACCCATGAACCAACTCAAAGGTTATGAACCTAGGGGATACATTGGAACCTGCCAAATGTGAAATAACAAATGAAGCAGAAAACAATACCAATCCCAACCACTGTTTTCAAGCACTTCCCCAAACATTCCATTCAGGGTTTTGTTGAACTGTGCAAATAACCCATTGGTTTAAAGATGATACAGAGAAGTCTGTAGATTATTAATTTTAACAAACTAATTTATACTTATTTATAACCATAAATGTGGTCAATTAATCAGGCAGGATCTCAGACAAAAGCCCTGTTCTGGTGAACATTTGAAACATCTCCCATGTGATAACTTTGAATGACGTAATTCTTAAAGGGACTGTCTCTGGGTTGTCGGGTGTCATTTTTTTTTTTTCCACAGATTGGGTACGACTCACAGAAGTCCTTGATCTCCTGGTCTATCCCGGGCCAGTAAAACTATTGCAAAACCCGTTTCTGAGTTTTAGCTTTCCCAACATGAGCTCCAAGCACATGAGCATGAGCTAAATGTAACACTTTGTATCCAAAATGCTGAGGTATCACTAGTTGTTCAACTATTTTTTCATGCTCCTTGGTGATTGTGTACAACAGATCATGATTCACAGCAAAATGGGGGAACCACACATCCACCGCAGATTGCTGTGTCTTACTGTTTAAGACTAGAGCATCGTTGGCCCAAGTCACACTCCATCCTGCCAATCTCTTAGTGTACTGGGTTGCTAGAAAACCCTGCTGGTGGCAGGTCTAGCAAAGAACCTGACAGATTTTAGAGAGTTAGTTGGCGAGGTGCTTTCTGGGACATTTTTACACTCCTGGGGGACCTTGAGGCAAGGGTGCACCTCAGGACTCTGGAGTGACTCTTTTGACAGTAAAGGCTCCTCTAAGAAGCCCTTCATGCAGTTGCGATTTCATCCAGGAACTGGGTTTTACTCTGAGTTACCCAGTAGTACAGTTTCCTAAGAAGGAGAATACTGGAGTTCTGGAGCAGGTGCATCAGTGAATAAAGTTTTGCACATGCAAGTTTAGTCTTGTAAAAGTGCCAGGTATAAACATTGATTGCTCTCATGATTGAGGTACCCCCAACCTGGCCAATTTTCACCCTTTAATGCTTTTTAGTTGCATGCTGATTCCAAGGGCAGGTTTAACTATATCAACTGGGGATCCACAATCAGAATTAGAATAACAGCCAATGCATCTGACTAGTTTCTCTTATACAGTCCTTTTTTCAAGACAATGACAATTCATTCAAAAAGTGCCTAATATGCTTCAACGCTTTAGCAGTCATTTTCTGAAGAGTCCACTGTACAGCCTTCCAACAGTTATATGCCCTCCAGATTGCTGGGTCACTGCATCGCTGGGTCATTGCATTCTGTAGAACCATAATCTGCTCAGTCAGCAAGTAGTTACTCTCTCTTTCCTGCTGCACCAGAACCAACTCATGGCAAGACTGCACTTAAATATTATCCAACACCAGCTGTTTGACTAGCTCTTCCATCTCTTTGCTGCATACTTTATAGTGTGTGCAGGTTTAATTTACAATATAGGGACTGGTCTGCACCTCTCAAAATGACCGATACATCATCCTCCAATTGTAGGGGTGGGGAGGATGGGGGGAGAGAAGGGGGAAACAGGCGCTAGCAAATAAGTCCTATAAAATCAAAGTTCACTTTATTTTCTGCAGAAGCAAACTCAAATGGTTTCCTTCAGCAAAAGGCAAACACAAAAGACCTTATCTTCAATAAAATAGATAATAAGTCCCAACAGAAAATGCACTGGCCTGTGCTTGCTACATTAAAGTAGTTGCAAGGCTAAATGTTGGTTTACCTTAATACATTCTCTGCATTAAGGTAAAAAAAACTCTTTCAGGTGTAGCTACCCCCTGCCCCCCTAACTACAGTACTTACCTGTGCCTAATCTCGATCGAATGTAATGCCCGAGAGGAGCAGCTCTGCTCTCTCTCTCCCTCTTCACTAATCTCATTGCTAAAGTCATTGGCTCCTGCTGCTGTCAATCAAATGCATTAACAAGACAAAGGGGGAGGGGCCAATAAGCACTGTGTGTGCCATTAGATGCACACAGTACATCTTGGGAATGAGCCCATATGCGTACATCCCCAGCAAGCAGAAAGAGAGCTGACAGGGTACTCCAGAAGAGGAGGATCGGGCTGCTCTGTGCAAAGCTATTGCACAGAGCAGGTAAGTATAACAATCACTTTAAGCTGGCTGCCAGCAGGATCTTCCTACTTCCTAGCAGTTACAGAGAGCCGTACTTCTGTTGGTCTCCAGTATGGTCTCTTTCTCTCTCTTGCTCTCAATCTCCCTCTCTTGAAGCTCATTTGACCTTAACAATCAGTTCTAAAGGGAAATACCCTCCCTTCCCAAATTTACCTCCTCTAACGCTCAACATTACTCTGTGGGCCGATGTTGGAAACATTTATTCAAAATGGCTGCAGCTACAATCAATTTAGCATTGGATTGTAGCAATGACCAGGACAGAAACCTACATGTTATGAAACAAATTTGCATCAAGTCTTTCTTTGCCTTATGACAGATGCAGATGTAGTAACACTTTGGAGTTCATTAATATTGTAGAAAATTGCAAAAGTAAAGTCGTTACCTAATAGGGGACAGTCAGGCTTCTTGCTGTGATACCTGAGAAGTTACTATTGGAAACAATTGCACTCTTATCCTCATTTTCTTGTGTTTCATGAACCAACCTCAATGGATCCAATATACTACATACCATATCAAATATTAAATTCTCTAATCTTATATATAAAACATGAAATTAGCTATTTGTATTACTTTTAGTAAAAATGGAAAATATGTGTCTCAAAAGACTTTACTACTCATAATACTTAAAAGTCATCTGTTACCTTACCTGGTTTCTGCAATGCTATGAGAGCCCTGGCTATTATATACGTTATACATCAAGAAAAGGAACAAATAAATACACTTACTATTCCATAACAAGGACTATGTCATTTCTGGACTCAAAAGCATCATATAACTGGATGAGATTAACATGATTCAGCTGGTTCATGACTTGAATCTCATTTTTCACTTCCTCCTGCAAATAAACATAACATTTATTATTAGCAACATTTCTGATCCCATTTTGAGTGTCATAATTGAGCAATCTGTTGAGTTAAATAACCTCTATCTGTAGGGCAACTATACGTTCCACTGATGAATGACATGTAAAGGTTTGCTATAGCTTACTGCACAAATTAACCACTTCACATTTCTCAACTAGACAAGACAATAATTTTAACATTTCAGCTATAGGCCTATTGATTCAGCAATATCTTTGTCATTACTTGAGGTCTGGTTCACACTAGTGTGGGCCGTGTGGCCCGCGTTTGCTTGAGCACAGCAGCCCATTCATTTGAAAGGGCTGATGTCCTGCATAAACTGCACAAAAAAGGTGCATGCACCTTTTTTAAAATGCAGAAGCAGGTGAACCGCATGGTCTTTTTGACCATGCAGTTTCCCTGCAGTTCCAGCACCTGCGATCGTGCGATCAAGATGAGATGCCTGGCTGATAATGAATGGCAGCCCTGATCGTCACGCAAGAGCTGTGGTTTGGCTGCAGGTGATTGCGGTTGCAGGAATTGATGCGATTCCCACAACAAAAATGCATTGAGTGAACTAGGCCTAAAGTATTACTCCATTTTGTATATTGTTACCTAGCTGGGCTACCATGAAGTGTCCTGAACCCATCATTTGTTTGAGGGCTCCATTTAGTGTCTGCAGACATCCCAGAAAAATTTTGTCTGGCTCTGGCTTTTCTCACACTTCTGGTTGTGCAACAGCCATCATTGCACAGCCACTTCTTTTCCTAGCCATTTTCTAGTTTACACCCTCCCCCCTGTAGTTCTTCAAACTACATGAGAGACATAATTACATTGCTGTTGCTGCCTGTGGATGTTACCAGTTGCAGAGATACACCCATACTGAGTGACTGACATCTCTCTTACCATGGCTTATGATTTCTTTGGGAATGAAAATTAATTTTATTGTATACAAACATAAAACAGCCTCCTACAGCATGAGATGCTAGGTTGCTAGGTCTTGGGAAATGTAGTTCCTATGCAGGTTTATTAGACTTCAACTTTATGAAATAAAAGGTACTTTCAAAATTGTTCTTTTTGTATAAAATGTAAAGGACGTTAATCAGGGGAAGGGTGGTAACAGAGTTTATTAATGATTTTTGCTGACCTGAGTTCTGCTTTAAAATATTAAAGCAGAATTACAACACATTACAGAGTATACTAAGTTTAGTCCCATCTGGAATAATTATTCCTACCCCGAACTGGTACATTTACAACACGCAGCTAAGTGGCATACACTTGGCACCTCTGTCATATTTTTGAGGGAGGCAAATTGCTATCATTTGCTCAATTAAGGTCCCCCTTCAGAGTATGATCCAGCATGCACTTCTATTGTCTACAAATGCATCAGGCGATTAAAGCCCAAGAATTTCTAGGTGCTCCGATTATGTCACCAATCCCTGTCTTTAACTTGATGCAGCATTCATCCTCTACGAAAGGTTTGTTTCTAGATGTTATACCAGGCTACTTGCAGATTATCTTGAGAACATCTCTAGCTCAGCTATGGAGAGGTGGGAGACAAATGTTGGAACTATATCTGGAGACCAATGGGAGTCAGCTTTGGAATCAGTACACCTTTGCTCCATGAATGTGTTGCAAAGACTTTCACAACTCTATATTTTACACAGGGAACACCATAACCCACCGAAACTTCATACACTTGTTCTACAATCTGATCCTACTGGTAAAAAGTGTTGTAGAAACTATGGTGACCTCATGCACATATTGTTGCATTGCCCAAAGCTTCATAAGTACTGGGAAGCTATGGTATCAACTATCAATACCACTTTTAAAACAGTACTCTAGATCTTAAGCAATGTGTTCTGAGTATAATTGATGAAGTTGTGCAGGATTTGCATGTCAGGGTGGCATTCCCCAGAGCTTTCTTCCAGGCTTCCAGACTTATCTTACTTAACTGGAAATCTCAGACTCCCACTACTCCTCAGGTGTGCATTGAACATATGGGTATAACACTGAAATATGAGCTCTTGCTTTATCAACACAGAGGCTGCAGGTCCAAGTATGACAAAGTGTGGGGCGGATGGTTAGCCACTCCGGGTCTGGCTCCGGTAGAATTAGTCATGGATAGGCTATCACTGTAGGCCATTGTATTATTTGAAGGGGAATGCCTGATCTGTGATGTGATGTTGTGAATTGGCAGTTGACAAATATCTCTGTTGATTGCTATAATCCTGGTGTGTGCTATGAGTAAAGTATGTTACTTATATGGATACTTTATTTCTGTTACATGTCAGATGATGTAATTAAGCATGTATGTTCAATGCATTCTCTTTTATGTGGACCCTCCGTAACTAACATGTTCTTCTGATAAAAAAAAAAGATTAAAGAAGTGTTCCAGTGGATGAAAAGTACACACTTTAGTCTATAATTTGTGGCATTTATAATGACTTTAAAATTATGTTTCTACTGCAAAGCTTGCTGATGTTATTTACAAATTTGCAAACTTTTTACATTTTTTCCCTTTTGTTAAATGCACCCATTGAAAAAAAAAACCCAAAATGAATTACAACACACTGAATGCAACTTTGAAACTGTGCTACTTCATCTGAAGTAGCGCGATTTCAAAGCTGCAGATAAGTGTGATTTGTACCTTCGATTTCACTGTGGTTTGCAACTTCATTTAATATAAGTCAATGAAAGTCGCAATAAAATTGGAGAAAAGTAGTAAGTAACTACTTTTGAAATCACGCTACTTCAAATCGCACTGAATAAGACAGTGCCATAGAAATACATTAGACGTGACTTCAGGTGCAATTTGTCATTGAAGTCACAATGCTGTGAACCATAGCTAAAACAAAAGAGTAATTGTTAATGGCAAACAAATAGATATAAACAACAAAAAAACAGAAGGAAAATAATGGAGAGGGGGAGAATAAGTTATTAATAAGATTATTAAGAGGTTAAATCAGAGCATTATTTATTTATTTAGGCATTTATTTTTACTTTGCATTGTTGCTTTAATTGGCTTCATATGCAGATCAAAGTTTACCACGGATTTTCTGTGAATGAACCAGATTAGTTACAATGAAGCGATAATAATATTGCTATATTGTAACTTTCACATATACATAAATAAATAATGATAAGGTGAATAGAAGCAGCAATAGAACGAATAGCAGCAATATTAAAAATCAGACACAGTGAGGCGCTCTGATCAGCGCTACCAGTCTAAAGTGTGAGAGTTCATGAATTATTAATATAGCAATTATTAATATACTGATAATTGTGGTGATGGTATCCATGACAGTAAGTGGTCAGAGTTGGGTGATACAAAATGAATAGTGACTGATAGTGAACATACTGTATACCAAATGACACAATTGCGATAAACAATAGTTATAAAAAAGTTCAGAAAATAAATCCGTGAACAGGTGACATCCAGTGCTGGTGAATCCGTGAAAAGTATTCCTTTATATATTTATAAGTAGGAATACTTTTGGCTATTATGCCGTTGGTATGGCTTCAGTGCTTTATTAAGACAGTTAATTGCAACAAGTTTAGAGAGAAGGATTTCAAACTCTTTTCTGGATTGCACTTCCTGCATGCATGTTCCAAGCAGGGGCGGACTGACCATTTGAGCACTCGGGTACTGCCCGAGGGCCCGGGGTCAGTAGGGGGCCCCATGAAGTGCCCCTGGCACTTTTTATATGCTTTTTTGGGTGTGCTTTGAGTGTGGGCAAGGACACAGGGGCCCCATGATCCCCTATTGCCCAGGGGCCCCATGAGTTGTCAGTCTGCCCCTGGTTTCAAGTCAGTGACTCAAAAATATTTAAATTAGACTCAGCCAGGCAGACAGCATTTTCAGAGGGAGACCAACTAGTGAGTAATATAATGTAATACCCCCTTGCACAGTTCTGCAGAATTCCATTTGTATAACATTAAAATAACCATGCAAATGGGTATTCCTTTTTTTGATATAAATACTGTAGAATAATCATTCTTTCAGTTGACTTATCTTGTTCCACAGTGAAGCTGTAGCTGTAGCAGAATTGATTGTCTCACTTTAAAACATTCACAAAAAGAAAATATAAAGAATTTTCTAAGAAAAAAAATCCTGGATCAACTAGATACACAGTAACTGCTACAGATAGTTCTAAACATGTTCAATGTATTCAAGTGTAGCTTTGGCCATCATTAGAGATCCATATTAGATGAAAATATCTTTCCATTTTTGGTCATCAGAAGTCTATTGTAGATTATGCAATTAAATAATTCCATGGTACTTAATCAGAAGTTTACAAATAGACAAACTTCTTTTCATCTTAACATTGTGTGACTGGTGTATTCTAAAAATGGCACTGACCTTTTCTTTATGTCCTCTAACCTTAATGATTTTAGCTGCCAAGGTAAGTCCCGATGACTTCTCTGTGCATCTGTGCACTTGTCCAAATCTTCCACTGCAAATAAATGTAACACATTTTTCTCATATTTTAAATAGCCCATGTAAAATTGCAGTCATTACTTATACATATTTGCGGATGCAATCAATAGCTTGTCTCACTTAGAATAGAAGAATAGCACTTATCGTATTACTTACCCTCCCAGCAAATGTGTTGTTTCCACAGTATAAAAACTATTAATCTGAGCATGTTTAGTAGAGACAATTCTGTGATCAAAAGGGGCCGGAGGAGGAGGAGTGACATCTAAAAGGAAATGGAAAGCAAACAGCAAGTTATGGATTTAAAAGCCAGTAAAAGGCAGTTCCAGTATGGAATTAAAGGGCCTTAAAACCATACAACACAAGCTCTCTCATAAAAAAAACCCAAAACATGCCCATACTTATATAGAGAAAAATTTAACATTTTGTACATCTCCTACATGAAAATGTGATGCAGTTTTTAGATTCTGTCAGTTGGAATTGCTAATAGGATTTAGCTTTGTATAGCAACATATGACCCTAAAAATGATGAATAACTTTGAGGAGTCTTTACCACGCTCGAGTAGATGTCCGAATGTTAATACAACTATTTCAGAAGCTAACCTTTAATATAAGTATGTTCATCTTTTTAACTACTTGACCTCTGGAACAGGGGCAGACTGACAACTCATGGGGCCCCCAGGCAATAGGGGATCATGGGGCCCCTGTGTCCTTGCCCAAACTAAAAAAAAGCCTGTGAAAAAGGTACCAGGGGCATCCCATGGGGCCCCCTACTGACCCCGGGCCCTCGGGCAGTGCCCGAGTTTCCAAATGGTCAGTCTGCCCCTGCTCTGGAAGGTTCTACCTCCTGGCCAGGCCATTTTTTGCTTTCAGCACTGTGCTATTTTAACTGGCAATTGCGCGGTCATGCAGCACTGTACGCAAACAAAATAATTATAACTTTTTAACACAAATAGAGCTTTCTTTTGGTGGTGTAGCCAGGTGTCAGCTACAATAATATGAATGCAGTGGACATTACCTTCATTGCTGCAGACAGTTCCAGTTCTCGCTCTAGTGCTGTATTCAGTCTGCTTGCATCATATTGCTGAGCCCAGGACAGTGGGACTTGTCTTGTGTTCAGCGAAATCTGGACTCCTGGGTCTTTTTGAGTCTTCTTTAGACTACATCTCCCATCAAGCTGCTAATTGAGAAGGGGGATTATGGGAAAGACTTTTTAAAGAGCTGTGTTCAGCGGGCCCTCTCTTTCTTCTCCCCAGGATCCATCATTGTGCATGAGAGCTGCCATGCTGCTGGAACTGCGGCCTAGCTGGAGCCTGTGAGTCATCTCAGTCCCTGCAAGGGTGCAGCCTGTACCACTGTGCAGCATTGGGAGACTCTTTGTAACCGTGCTGTGGGCGCCAACCTGGATTGACATGCTCACATCTGATTCACCTATTGCATCCATCCTTCCACTGGCTGGAGTGCAGACCCTGCATCACTTCCTATGTGTGTCAGCTACCTTCAGGATCTGGTAAGTGGGCTTAAGCCCAAATCTGCTTCTCTTCAATAACACTTAGCACATGGACACTGCATGTAGACATCATAATCTGGATTACGAAGGAACTTGCCACTTTTGTTCTACCCATTGCTTGCTTGCTGACTGCTTAAATCTCTTTTTCCCCCACTGAGGATTTTCCTTCGACATCACTGAGCTCCAATATGCCGGAGAAGATTGTTTTTAGCCCTGACACTTAGACTACCCTTATCCTCCCATCTGCAGGGTGTGCGCTGGCCCAAATAGAGTTTATCTCTTCATCATAGGATTAGGATTTCCTGCAGCCAAGCCTTCTCTAGTTTTAACCCCCCCCCCCCCTCCCACCAGTAAGTCCTCCGGGTACTCACTGGTGTAAAGGAGGGGAGGTGCTTAGAGGTCCCAAGAATTTGAGAATCAATGGACCTCTCAGTGTGAGAAAGCTTTTCATCACCAAAAAAGGAACCTCACAGAAATGCCCCTTCTAGTGTATGCTGATCCCTCTAAACTAGAGGTAGGCAACCTTTGAAAGGTGGAGATCTACCTGAACAACATGAAAGAGATCAAAGTTCACTGTGGTTCAGCACTATTTAAAAAAAAATTATTAACTTGCAAGGCCTAACTAAATAGTAAAGAAAATGTAGAAAAATATATCAAAACAAATGTCACTGTAAAAATACAAACTTTGCCTACCTTAAAAATGGACAGTGTCAGTCAGTAGGGCAGAGATTGGTGTCAGTCAGTAGAACAGTGGCTGGTGTCAGTAGGGCAATAGACAGTGTAAGTCAGCAGGGCAGTGAATGGCATCAGTAGGACAGAGGTTGGTGTCAGTAGGGCAGTGGATGGTATCAGTAGTTTTTATTCTTTACAATTTTTTTAGGCGCCCTGTTGAAAGGTGAGCACACAGGGGGCCAGGCAGCAGAAGAGAAACAAGGACAGAAGGGGCAGTGGGGGAGGCATTTACTAGAACTGTTTGCCTGAATATTTCTGCAGCAGCTGTACGCTGGTGAGAGGATGAGGAGATGCTGGCTTTCAGCTGCCGCAGGGGGAAAATAAAGGGGTTAGTCGGAAGACAGATATTTTAAAAATCTGAATTCCCAGCAAGTGGCTGGGGATTTAGATTTTACCACCCCCTCCTCCGGCACCCTAAGAAGGCTGCCTAAACAGCCTTTACACTGGCACCCATCTCCCTTAGTGCGCCAGGGTAGGGGGGAGATAAAATCTAAATCCTCAGCCACTTGCTGCAAATTCAGATTTTTAAAATACCTGTCCATGAGAAGGGGGCAGAGGACACTGCTATGGGGAGAAGGGGGAAAGAGGACATTACTGTTGGGGTTATGTGAAGGCCGGTAGAGGACACTGCTATGGGGATAGCCCTGTCCACAGCAGTATCCTCTGCTCCCTGCACATTATCATAAGTAGTGACCTCTGCCCCCCATTGTAGTGTCCTCTGTCCCCTTACATATCCACCCCCCACAACAGTGTCCTCTACCACCCTTCACATCACCTCCCCCCTCCCCACAGTAGTGTCCTCTGTTCCCAATTTCCCCTATATCAGTGACCTCTCGCCCTCCCCCCCCCCCTCCCAGCAGTGTCCTTTGCCCCCGCCTTCCCTCCCATAGCAGTGTCCCAAGCAGCATTCTGCCTGTGTACACAGAGGGGAGTGTGAAGGGAAGCACAGTTCTATATGGAGGGTGGAAGCGGTAGCTGCCAGAGTGACTTTTCATTATACCGAGCTGGTGACTGGTTGCTAGGACTGCCCTAGCAACCAATCACCAGTGGGTTAACTTGAAAGGTTAGTTTGGCCAGCTCCTCCTCCTGCCCTCCGTCCTGAGCTGTGCAGCCTCCCGGCACCTAAAAGGGGAGGCTTGGAGGCACAGGAACCTGTTTGTGGTCTACCTCTCACCTGTCCGTGGTCAACAGGTAGACCGCAATTGATGCGTTGTCAACCCCTGCTCTAAACCTTATGAGCTTCATGTGGACGCCAGATTAGATGGGCTGGGGGGGGAGTCTTGTATCAAGAAATGGAAGGAAAACTACATCCTAAAGCCTACGTGAATCAAAGTCTCACTTGCTCTGAGAATAACTGTCCTGTGCACAAGTTGGAGTTCCTGGCTTTGAAATGGTATATCACAGTGGGACTTGTAGTCTTGTGTTCAGGCATATCTGGACTCTCAAATCTTACTGAGACTACATCTCCCAGCAAGCTGCTAATCAAGAAGGGGGATTATAGGAAAAGCTTTTTAAAGAGCTGTGTTCCACGGGCCCTCTGTCTCTTCTCTCCAGGATCCATCAGTGGTCATCAGAGCTGTTGTTTTTCTGCTGGGACTGCGACCTAGCCGGAGCCCGTGAGCCATCTCTGTCTGCAAGGATGAGCCTGCACCACTGTGCAGCATTGGGAGACCCTCTGTCACTGCGCTGTGGGCCCCAACCTGGATTGACTTGCTCATGTCTGACCAACCTGTCACTCCCATGCTTCCACTGACTGGAGTAAAGACCTGCATTGCTTCCTGTGTGTGCTAACTATCTTCAAGGTCTAGTAAGCAGGCATAAGCCCAAATCCCCTTCTCTTCAGTAACACTCAGCACATGGACACTGCATGTAGACATCATAATGTGTATCACAAAGGAACTTGCCACTTTTGTTATACCCACTACCAGGGGCGGACTGACCATTCAAGCACTCGGGCACTGCCCCAGGGCTCGGGGTCAGCAGGGGGCCCCATGAAATGCCCCTGGTACCTTTTTATAGGCCTTTTTGGGTGTGCTTTGAGTGTGGGCAAGGGCATAGGGGCCCCATGATCCCCTATTGCCTGGGGGCCCCATGCGTTGTCAGTCTGCCCCTGCCGACTACTTGTTTGCTGACTGCCTAAATCTCTTTCCCCCACTGAGGATATTTCCTTCAACATCACTGAGCTCCAATATGTCGGCGAAGACTGTGTTCAGACTTGACACTTTGAATAACCTTATCCTCTGCCCTGCAGGGTGTGAGCTGGCCCAAATAAGAGTTTAACCCTTCACCATAGGATTAGGATTAGGATTCCCTGCAGCCAAACCCTCTTTAAGTATACCCCCCCCTTCCACTAGTGAGTCCTCTGGGTACATTTTATTATGTAGTATCTATCATTCTCTACATATGTAAGTGTTATTGTTAATTTCTGCTTGCTTTTGTTATCTTTCAGTACCTAATTGCTTGGTGCTCTGTCCAGCCAACCTAGGATGCTGTCCTAGGGTTTGGCTAGCTGACACTTTCAAATCCACAGTTTGCTTTAATCAATGCAAACGTTGCTGTGTTCAGATTACATCGTGTCTGTGGTTCATTTAACGGGGTATACAACATGTCAGAACCTAGAGTGTCAGAAGGGCAGGGAAGTTCCCAGGCTCAGGGCAGCACAAGAAGACAAGCAATATCCAGCGGCGCTTATGGGGGTAGCGCTATAGTGGTATTTGATCACCTCTGGGTTTTTAATTTTTTTTTTCATATAAACGAAAAAAGACTGAAACTTTTGAAAAAAATACAATATTTTCTGCTTTCTGTTATAAAATATATCCAATAAAATAAAATGTCTTCATAAATTTAGGCCAAAATGTATTCTGCTATGTCTTTGTAAAAAAAAATCCCAATAAGTGTACTGTATATTTATTGGTGTGTGTGAAAGTTGTAGTGTCTACAAAGTGTGGTATATATATTTGAATCTTTATCAAACCTGATGTATTCATGGCCTATCTCAGTTGCTGAGGCCCTTAAAATGCCAG